CCAAAAGTGAAGACATACCTAGTGGTAGATCTCCTATTATCCAAGTCCCCAGCATAATCAGAATCCACAAATCCTACAACCAAAGGATCCAACCGCTGATCTCCAAATACAATACGATGTCTCGCAGTACCTTTCAAATATCTGAAAATCCATTTGACTGCCTCCCAATGCTGTTTACCCGGCCTAGACATATACTTGCAAACTTGACCAACAACATGAGCTAAATCAGGACGAGTACATACCATGGCATACATCAGACATCCAACAACACTGGCATAAGGTATCTCCACCATATCCTGAGTCTCCTTGTCCGACTTGGGACACTGATCAACAGAAAGCTTAAAGTGGTTTGCTAATGGAATGCTCACCGGTTTTGCTTCATTCATCCCAAACTTCTGTAGCACCTTCTCCACATAACCCTTCTGAGATAACCACAACTTCTTTGATCCTCTATCCCTGTGAATCTCCATCCCAAGAATCTTCTTCGCAGCCCCCAAATCCTTCATCTCAAATTCCTGACTCAAAAGGCTTTTCAGATCAACAATATCACGCATATTCTTGGCAGCAATAAGCATGTCATCAACATAAAGTAACAGAAAAGTCATAGAACCATCACCAAGGATCTTAGTGTAAACACAACAATCAAACTCACAACGTTTGTAGCCAATCTTCACCATATACGAATCAAACCGTATATTCCACTGCCGCGATGCTTGCTTCAATCCATACAAGGATTTCTTCAACCTGCAAAATAAATGCTTCTTCCCTGGTTGAACGAAGCCCTCTGGCTGCTGCATGTAAATAGGCTCTGCGAGATCACCATGCAAGAAAGCAGTCTTCACATCCATCTGCTCCAAATGCAAATCCCAACTAGCCACCAATGCAAGTACAACCTTGATCGAAGTATGTCTAACCACAGGAGAAAATGTCTCATCATAGTCAATCCCCTTTTGCTGTGAGTATCCCTTAGCCACCAATCGAGCCTTGAACCTTTCCCCTCCTTTTTCTGTTACTGATGACTTCCTTGTGTAAATCCACCTACAACCAATAGCTTTCTTCCCTTCGGGAAGAACATCCAACTCCCATGTCTGATTCATGTGTACAAAATTCATCTCTTCTTCCATGGCAGCCTTCCATCTATTATTATTCTCACAAGAAACAGCCTCCTGGAAAGTACAAGGATCCACACTAGTGATCGTAAGAGCAAATGCGACCATATCCTCATAACCAAACCTGACCGGAGCTTGTATATTGGTACGCCTCACTCTATCCCGAGCTAACTTGTAGCTCTCTGGCACATCAGTTGGGCCAGAAACATCATGATCAACATCATCAGGTGCAGAACTCGAACTCTCCCCCTTATCAAGAACTGCTGGCACATGTTCTAACTCCACTTGTACCTTATCTGCATCTGATCCCAACATAGACTGTTCATCAAACACTGCATCTCTACTAATCAACGTCTTCTTCTCAACTGGATCCCAAAACTTGTATCCCTTCACACCTTTCTTATAGCCCAGAAAAGTGCACTTCTTTGATTTAGCATCAAGTTTTGACCTCTCATCAGCAGGAATATAAACATAAGCAGGACAACCAAAAATCTTCAAATGATCAAAACTAACATCATTACCTATCCATACTTCTTCTGCAACTTTGCCATCCAGAGATGCACGTGGTGATCTGTTAATTAAATAACAAGCCATACTTACAGCCTCAACTCAAAAACTCTTTGGCAAACCCGCATTCAGTCTTAAACACCTCGCCCTCTCAGCCAGTGTCCGATTCATCCTCTCAGAAACACCATTCTGCTGTGGTGTTTTACGCACTGTAAAATGCCTTTGAATCTCATGATCCTCACAAAACTTCTGGAACTGTGAATCGGTGTACTCTGTACCATTATCAGACCTTAAGTACTTGATTTTCTTACCAGTCTGGTTCTCTACCTCAGTCTTCCATAGCTTGAATTTAGCAAAAACTTCAGATTTATGCTTCATGAAATACACCCAAACTTTCTTCGAAAAATCATCAATAAAGGTCACATAGTACATAGAACCACCAATCGATGTCATTCTAGTAGGACCCCACAAATCTGAATGTACATAATCCAGAATTCCTTTTGTCTTCTTCTTCCCAGTCTTGAACTGACTTTTGTCTGCTTTCCCAGAACACAAAACTTGCAGAAATTGAGTTTGCAAGTTTTAACACCATGCAGAAGCCCCCTCTTATGCAGTTCAGTCATGCCATGTTCACTAAGATGTCCAAGATACATGTGCCACAATTTCGTGCTATCTTCACACGACTCCACCGAATGGACTCCACCTACAACTGTACTTCCCAACAGTTTGTAAAAGTTCCCTGTAGTGATCCTCCCCTTCATCACAGTCAAGGCACCCTTCACAATCTTAATGGTTTCCCTATCTTCATCAGCCCTGGGAATGAAACCATTTCTATGCAAAGTACCCAAAGAAATCAAATTCTTCTTTAACTCAGGGATATGTCTCACATCACATAATGTCCTAACAGTTCCATCATACAGCCTGATTTTGACATCTCCAATGCCGAAAATACCGCAGCATCTATCATCACCAAAAAAAAACAGAACCCGAGTTGCCTGATTTATAAGTAGCAAACCACTCTCTGTTAGGCATTATATGATATGAACTTCCAGAATCGAGAATCCAAGCATCATCATACTGCGCAGTCGAAATAGATAACATATCTCCATCACTGCAATTGGATTCCTCATTTTGTACCACATTCGCAGACTTGGATGACATATCAGCAGTCTGTTTCTTCAATTTTGGACAATCCCGTTTGAAGTGCCCTTATTCCTTGCACTTATAACACGTCACAGTTTTCCTCCCTTTCGATTTGTCTCGCGACTTGAATCTGAAATTTCCTGAATTATCCCGCACCTGTCTTCTTCTACGATCCTGGACACCCTTCACATATAAGCTATCACTTTGAGAAGACGACTCTCCAGATTTCTGTTTCCGCTGGTTGTGAGCCAACAACGCTGAAGTAATCTCCTCAGTCTTGATCGTTTCTTTCCCATATGTAAGGGTAGTCACTATATGTTCGTAAGAAGGAGGTAACGAACACAGTTAAATCATCGCCTTGTCTTCATCTTCAATCTTGACTTCGAGTGAAGCCAAATCCGTGACAACCTGATTGAAGATATTCACATGTTGCCCTAAATCGGTCCCCTCCTGCATCTTCAGCCCGTATAACCTCTGCTTCAGACACAGTTTTGTCGTTAGGGTTTTCGATATAAACTGCGATTCCAGTTTCTTCCAGATCTCATCCGCCAATTTGAGATGCATAACGTGATACATAACTTCATCTACAAGGCACATCCGAATCGTCCCGGCTGCCCGTTCCTGCAGATCTTGCCAATCATCGTCTTTCATCCCTTTAGGCTTCTCTGCACGCAGCCTTTTCTGAATTCCTTGCTGCGCCAATAAATCTTTTACTCTCGTCTGCCATAATCCAAAATTGCCATGACCATCAAATTTTGAGACCTCGAATTTCGATCCTCCCGTCATCTCCGTCGCCCAATCAACCAGGCTCTAGTACCTTAAAAACAAGAAAAGTAAACAACACAAGATTTACGTGGTTCGGCAATGTGCCTACGTCCACGGCGGCTGAGGGATTTTTATTATTCTCAATAGTCTCATGTCATGCTATTTCGCGCTCTATAGAGCGCGAACATGCGCTTTTTAAAACACGTGTATTGGTAAAAACAATAGAGTGGAATTAGAGATTATGAACAAGCTCACTTGTGAACTCAACCAATAAACTGAGATTGACTTGTTATAATTTTTTTTCCAAACGATAGAATATCTCCATATCAATAAGCCAAAAAATTTAAGGTTCAAATACATTAGATTAACTTAAAAGTCGAAGACTAAAGCTATAGAGTACTACCACATTAGGTAGGCTAAACATAACAACACAATACATCAACTCCAGAGGCAGAAAAAAAACACTTCTGAACCCTCCAGATGAAAATACAGATCCAAATACACAAATGACAACCAAGAATACAAGCAAATGACCCTAACAGACAAAACAAAACAACCTGAGACACTGAATTGCAAGCAGACCTATCTAGATCACTCTGTTCCTTCTGCAAGTCTTGATAGCATTAAATTTTTGCCATTCCAGCCATGCACCTTCCACAATGCCATGATCCGGCCAACACACTCTATAAAAAACCACAGATTTATAGCCTTCCATAGTCACCATAATATGTAAGTTGAGAGTTTAATTTTGGCTTCATCCATTCCAGTGTTTGTGATAGAGCACACAGATCCCCACCAATCTACAAGTATGTCCTTCTCTACTTTCAAACCATCCCAGCTAACATGTGCTTGATGCCAAATCATTTTAGCTCTCCTGCAGGTTAATAACACATGTTCTAATGCTCCACTGCTTCTCCACAACAACAACAGATAACATCAACATCTATTCCTCTTATTTTTTTTTTTTAGATTTGCACAGACAAGTTAAGAACCACTAACACATTTCCATAGAAAATGTTTCAGCTTACCTCTAACTTTGAGAATCCAAGTCCTCTGCCTTATTCTTTGATTCCTTCTGGATGTGCCACTCCCCTCAGCCAAATCCAGTCCTAGCAATTTCTGTTTGTGAATGAAGGTATAAGAAGAAGTTACAGAAAATATGCCTTGTACTCCCATAGTCCATCTCCATTTATCCTCAGCATGTATGTCCAGAGCCTTAATTTGCAACAAAGCATTACAGTCTTCCTCTTCAATCAGTTCCCTAACCTTCTGCTCATTCCATCTATTCCTTGCACCATCAATCAGTTTCTGCACTTTGATATTTTTTCCATTAGTGTCCTGCTTGAGATATAGACTTCTTCCTCTAATACCTGGCACTCAGTTATGATCCTTCAGTCTCATAGATGCTCCATTTTTAATCTTCACATGCATTCCTTCTCTCAGCAAACTCCTTACTTTCCACCAGGACCTTCATTTCCAAAAAGAGTTTTGATTCAACTGAGCATCAAATATAGAGGTTTTAGGAAAATACATGCACTTCAAGATCTTGCTCATGAGAAGTTGAGGGTGAGTGATTACTCTCCAAAGTTGCTTGACTAACATTGCATCATTGAAAAGGTTAACTTCTTTAAAACCCAATCGTCCCTGATCTTTGGTTAAAGTAAGCAACTCCCATCTTCTCAAATGTACCCCTTTGTTCTGCTCATCTCCTCCACTCCACCAAAACTGAGAGAACATTCTAGCCACCTCCTTACATATGCTAGCTGGTAGCTTGTAGCAGGACATAACAAACAACGAAAGAGCATTAAGTACAGATTTGATGAGAACCTCTCTCCCTGTTGAGGAGAGGTATTTGTTCTTCCAGCTGATTAACCTTTTCCTCACAGCCTCTATCACAAAACTGAAAACCCCCTTCTTAGACCTGTCTATGCCAAGAGGCATTCCCATGTATCTGATGAACCTCCGAAAATTTATGCCTGGGAAAAAATGGCACACTTTATTCTGTACTGCAATCTCAGTGTTCTTGTTGAAGAATCGAGGACTTAGGGGGTGATTGTTTATGTTTTGAATAGTAAAAAATCTAGAATTTTTTAATTATGGTTAAGTTTAAGAAAAAGTGGTATGGTTAGTTGTTAGTGGATATATTAAAATAGTATTTAAAATGAAATAGTTAAAGTTGATTTGATGTAAAAGTAAGAGAAAATGATTGGAAGTGATAGTTAGTTAAAATTAGTTAAAATTATGTGAGTAGATGAATAGTAAATTAAAGTTGATGTGATATGTAATAATGATTTGTTGATGTTATTTAATTATATAATAATATTGGAGATAGTGTGGTTGAGTTAAAGTTGAGTTAAATTTGAATTTGAGTAAAAAAAATTACTGTGCAAATGGTAAACAATCACCCCCTTAGCTGTATTGACTTTCTACCCTGTAAATCTTTGATATAGGAAGATGACAGATAATAGAGCCTGAACTTGGTACTTGTCTGCCTTACAAAAAAACCAGAGAGTTGTCCGCAAATAATAAATGAGTAATCATAGGAGCACCTCTAGCCACAAATACCCCTCTAAACACCCCTCTTTCCATTTCAAAGTTAATCAAAGCAGAAAGCACTTAAGAAACTATAATAAATAGATAGGGAGACAATTGGTCTCCCTGTCTAAGTCCTCTTTGAGCAGATACATATCCAGTGGTGCAGCCATTAATGATAAAAGAGAAAGACACAGTAGACACACATTCCATGATTCATCTCACAAATTTATGATCAAAACCCATCCTGAGCATAGTAAGTCTAATACTGGGCCACTCAATTCTATCATAAGCCTTCATCATGTCAAGTTTAACCACCATATACTTATGCTTCCATGTTCTGTGACGGTTTAAAAATGAAGACCCTCATTTGCAATAACCACGTTGTCAGTTAAACTTCTGCCTGGAAAAAAAGCTGATTGGGCCCCATTTACACACTTATCTATGCTCCACTCCGCTCACTTCGCTTGGTCGCTCCGCTTCCCTCGCTACTTTCGCTCCGTTACGCTCGCAGGCATCAGCCTGCCCTCTTCCTTTGTCAATATATGAGCCATACCAACAAAATGCATTATTTTTAAATTTCATGATAATGCATTTACACTTGGGTTGTAACCCAAGTTGTCACCCAAGTTGTGTAGCATTACTCTTTTCAAAAAGAAATGAACTTGAATGGTAAACATATACCATTATTTTTTATGAGAAAAATTTAGTACTCCAAATATAATTGTTTGTTGATTGGATATATTTTTTTTCTTTTATCAATCTTGTCATCACAATTAAAAAATATAAACAGTCATTAGTACACAATTTTTTAATAAAATTCATGATTTATCTTCTAATATATTTTTAACTACTAATCATTTATAATAATAATTTTAATAAAATATATTACATCAACTTTAAATCTCATATAAATTTACAAATTCAAAATTAATTCAATCTTACACACAATTTTTTCCACTCTCCCACTCACTTTATTCAACGGAACATTTTTTTTTCCATAATAATCCAGAGTATTGAGAACTGTACATGATACGTATATGAAATATCTCAATTCCTACACAATTCATACTTAAAATCTAATTCAACTTTAACTCAACTCCACTATTTTAAATATTATCGATATAATTAAATAAAATCAACCAACCATTCTAACAGATCACATCAACTTTAATCTACTCATATAATTTCAACTAACTATCACTTCATATCATTTATCTTCTACTTTTACATCAAATCAACTTTAATTATTTTATTTTAAAAATTATTTCAATATAAAATTACAATCTCACTATCAACTAACTATACACTTTGTTAAAATTAATTCTGATTAACCAAAAAACTCATTTTGAGCATATATATTTGTATACAAGCAGCCCGTCGAAACATTCTCCACTCACTTTATCCAATGAAACATTATCTTCTTTTCAAAATAACCCACCAGTATTGGGAACTGACACATGAAAGATGGAACTCGAGCTCCGGCAACTAAAATTAAACAATCTCAAAGTTGCAACTAAAACTGAACATAACTCAAATCAAACAATCTCCATATTGCAACAAAAACTTATCATCAAAGTTCAACTGCATGTGTGAAACTAATGAAGAAAAAAAAATATTGATGATTATACAAAATCACAATGAGTACACAGACGATATTTGCATCATTATTAGCTATTTCATCGCTTACCGTAAAACAATGATACAATCCATTCGAGCTGCTACATTTATTTGCCTATGAAGATTCTATTTATAACGTCAACTGGCAATGCGTATGCTGGATCTATAGCTTTCACACCAGGATATTCGAGAAGAGATAGGCCTGCAAATCAAAGAAAGTCACAATTTTGAAGACACGAACGACACACTAGAAACAGATTAACACAGTTTCTTAATTCTTGAGATGCGTAACTAAGTTCGGTAACTAATCCACATGTTAAGTTGGATTAAAAGGCTCCAATCTTACCAGCTACACCAAAATAGGTGTGAAAAACATCAACTGCATCATCTGGCCTATCAGAAATTCCACCGTTCTCCTTATCCTGCACCGTTAAACCACACATTTGCCCAAAATTTCTTAACTTTGATGATACTCGAAATTTTGGAAACCGTGCCTCCAAATACCAAATAAAATATTTAATCTGAAAAGCTCAATAACCTGACAATCCAATATGAACGTAATGAGTTTTTCCTTGTCAATCCAGTGAACTCTATCGATCATGATCAAACTGGAAAGAACCCACCATGAATAGCAGACCTGGAGTTGGTAAAGGGTAGTAAATCATAAGCGTGCTCTTGAAGACTTTTTTTTTTTTTAAAAAATAAAATTATTTGCATTTCTTAAGCCAGTGAATACATAAACTATAAACTGTGACCTACATCAGGAAGCTTTTCGGGCCGCCCATTTAGACCTCCCGATTTCACTTGTCGTTCACATAACCACCACCCGAGGAGATCCTTATCAACATGATGCAACGAACCAGTGATAGCAAGGGCCCCTACACAACAGAAAACTGCAATATAGTTCATAAAGTTCTTTGCCCATTAGTTCCTACACGAGACTAACCGTGATGAGACTCAAATTGAAAATGTCTGCTAAACGAGATGTTTCATCTGCGAGTTTCTGCTATACCATTTCTAGGTGGCTTATGACATTATTTTTTATATTTCGTTTTTTGGTTAGTTTGTCAAGTCAATTGTTTAAGATGCTATGTACTTCATTATCATACAAGATGTACTTGTTAGAGTAGGATACCCGGCGTTCCAATCA